AGCTGCCACCTTTTGGTGCACAGGACGATGCTCCAACCAACTGAGCCAGACCGGCCAGGGCAGAACTAGCATTTTTTGAGCATCTACATATGCCATAAGTTTGTATTTTTTTTCTGGGCATGGATGCATCAAGATACAAGTTCTATCCTAAAACATTTTTTAAATATACTTTTATTGATTTCAGAAAGGAAGGGAGAGGGGACAAAGAGAGAAACATCAATAATGATAGAGAATCATTGATCAGCTGCCTCCTACATGCCCCACACTGGGGATGGAGCCCATAACCTGGGCATGTGCCCTGACAGGAATCAAACCATGACCTCCTAGTTCAGTGATGGCGAACCTTTTGAGCTCGGTGTGTCAGCATTTTGAAAAATCCTAACTTAACTCTGGTGCCGTGTTACATAGAGAAATTTTTTGATATTTGCAACCATAGTAAAACAAAGATTTATATTTTTGATATTTATTTTATATATTTAAATGCCATTTAACAAAGAAAAATCAACCAAAAAAATGAGTTCGCGTGTCACCTCTGACAAGCGTGTCATAGGTTCGCCATCACTGTGACCTAGTTCATAGGTCGAGACACTCAACCACTGGGCCACACCAGTTGGGCTTTTTTATAAACCAAAAGATTAGGGGCCCAAGAATCAGGTCTTTTCAAGGCTTCAGGGCATAAAATTAGAAGGAAAGACATCAATTGGAAATAATGAGTATTTTGTCCTATCAGAAATGAAATTCTGCAAGAGGTTTGTGAATGGGGGAGAGGTGGAATCTAACTCATTGACAATGTCTTCGTATTTGTTAGGCCCTATCTCTGGGATGGGTCTCCCTTTAACTCAGTCTACAAAGAGGAGGAGTTGTTGGAAGTCACCTGACCCTGAGTTCCCACCTCTTCTCCTGTCCTTTTCTTCTTCTAGAAGGACTTCTCCCCCGCGACTCACCTACCTGAGTGTAGCGGATGCTGATCTGCTCAACCGGACCTGGTCGCGGGGCGGCAATAAGCAGTGTCTCCGGTACATCGCCAACCTCATCTCCTGCTTCCCCAGCGTGTGTGTCCGCGATGAGAAGGGGAGCCCGGTCTCTTGGTCTATCACAGACCAGTTTGCCACCATGTGCCACGGCTACACCCTGCCGGAGCATCGCAGGAAAGGGTACAGCCGGCTGGTGGCCTTCACCCTGGCCTGGAAGCTGCACTGCCGGGGCTTCCCCGCGCAGGGCAACGTCCTCGATGACAACGTGGCCTCCATAAGCCTCCTGAAGACCATCAAGGCCGAGTTCCTGCCTTGTCGCTTCCACCGGCTCATTCTCACCCCGGCAGCTTTGTCCAGCCAAGTTCACCTCTAGCCCAGCGAAGCGGCAGTCATCTTCCGTCCCCTGAGGATTCACGTCCTCCTTAACTGCCAGTGAAGAGAACATGAGAACTGGGATCAGGAGAATCCCGGAGAAAACATGCAGCCTCAGCCTGACAAGCCTTAACTAGCCCTGTCTTGGGTTTTTACAATCAATAACCAGAAAATAAATAGATAGATAGATAGATAGATAGATAGATAGCCGTAGTCAGGGGTTGCTGCAGCTGTAACAGAGGGGATGACCCTCCTGTGGGATCCACCGCAGGAGAAAGGTCCTGAAGCCAGCAGTTCTCAGCGCAGAAGCAGAAATGACAGCAGGAGGACAATGATTTAACACGGGAGCGTGTGGCTATTGCTTTCTACCTGCCTGGGCTTCCGCTCTGAATTCTCACAACCACACCAGTTCCCTGCTACCCTAAGTAACATTAACCTGGGCCCACACTGCTCTGTCTCCCCAAACGCAATGCCTACCACCTCTGACCCCAGTTCTCTGTGGACTGTTCTGTTTTTTCGTCTTGAGTTCCTGGCTCTTCACTTCTGCCTATGACTCTAGCCTAGAGTTCTTCCCTGGGAGTATTGGGATGAAGTGGTTCTCACATCTGATACAGAGGGCTGGTTACAACACAGCCTCTCCCCCACAGGAGTCTGGGGGGACCTGAGAATGTGCATTTCTAACAGATTCCCGTTGCTTAGTCGCCTTGGATGGGGGAAGGCAGATATTTTAATGCCAGAAATAGATGATGTCAGCATAGGACTGGACCATACCTATCACCTATGCCAGCCTCCTTGTCTATAATTTGCTTTCTCTTAAGAAACTAAGATGCATATATAGATGTGAATGTGGATATGCAGATGTGCATATAAACATACATATACAAACACACATAAATATATAAGTATTTTTCTTTCATATTTTCTGCATATAAACTCAGAATTGTGGTGAGATAATACATTCTAATTCTCTCGTTGCATATGAAGAATTTGAGGACCCGGGAAAACAAATGACTTCAAGATTACACAGATAATCAGCGCTGGAAGCCCAGCCAGAATGATGTCATTTTGATTTCAATCTATTTTCTTTTCACTCAATCGTGTATCTTTTTTGCAAAGGAAATTTAAATGCTTAAATAATTAAATCAATACACTCATTGGTCTTTTATCCTTGTCAGTATTTTTTTTTTTAATTTGGGTTCCAATTGTTTGTGTATATGTATCTTTGGAGGACAGAGATCAACACCACAGGCGGTAGCCAGTAAAAGCAGGCCCCACACAGATGGTTGCATCTGTCTAGTCTGGATAACATTCACTTAGTCACGTAGAAAAGCCACCAGGCAGCTTTCAGAAGCTTTCTTATCTCACAGAGGTTCCCAAAATTCCACCTACAAAGATAAGGAGAAACCCAATGTTAGGTGTTTGTCCTGAGAAAAGTAAACCAACTGGCTGGAGGAGAGCGTCATTTGGATAAAAAAAAATAAGACTCTTGCTTAGGTTGCCCAGAGTTCCTGGTTACCTGGAAATAAATGTCTCCTTGGTGCCAGGGAGAGCAGAGTCCAGAAAGCTCTCGGGACAATATGGTCTAGTAGTCCCTGCCCCCAGGATCCTCATTATCTTGGGCATTAATTAAGCCTGGGTGACTCCTGCCTGATCTATGGGAATAATATTCTAGCCTTATTTTCTTCCTAATAGTAACATGCCTACCGTTTGTTTAACGCTCGACTATGTGCTGACAATTGTGCCAAACAGCAGAGATATATAATGTAATCCCTGTGAAGGAAAAGGTATTGAATTCTGGCTCAGAAGTACTATGACTCACCAAAAGTTATGCAGGTTTTAAAAGTGGCGGAGTCAAGATCAGAACCAGGGGTTTGTGGGACTCTGAAGCCTGAAGTCATTAGGCTAATTGGCCTCTTAAGCAGCTTGGAATTCCTTGGGGACAATTATTCTTTTCTCTTGTTGCTTTCTGAACAATGTACTCCAAATGGCACCCATATTTTGTTTTTAACTTTTATCTTCCAGATAACTAATCTATAATAATAAAGGGTAATATGCTAATTAGACCAGACATCATTCAGGATGAAGCCAGGGCCAGAGCAAAACCCGGATCCCAGGTGCCAGAGGGAAGCTGGTGTCGGCAGCCGGGGGGAAGGAAGGCCTACTCTTGCACAAATTTCATGCATCGGGCCTCTAGTTAGACATAATTGCCCAAATTTCAACCTGGTTTCTGACCTGTTAAGGACTGTGTGGAGCAATTTCTGAATAAGGAAAAGAGAGAGACTCAAAGAGTAGTAAGGGAGCTAGATCAGCAGACAGTCTGATGAAGTGCTGATGTCAGTAACTTCTTCAGTCTAACATGTAAACCGGTGAAGAGTCTTAAGCAAAGTATCCATCTGTTTGGAAATCAGTTTGGGGTGACTATTGCAACAGTCTTAGCAAGAGATGATCCAAGTTTAGCTTGGATTTGAATGCTGGCAGCGATGATGGTGAGAAGGGAGCCATTTACCAGAGCTATTTGGGAGGAGAAGCTGTCAGCACGTAGTGGCTGCTGGATATGATGAGAGAGAAGCATCAGGATGAGTCCTGGGTTTCTATGTTGGCAACCCTGTGGCTGGTGGTGTTTTTCTCTGAGACAGGAAACACCAGAACAGTGCCAGGTCTGGGGCAACTGGAGCAGAGGAATTGTTCAGTTTGGGGTTGTTGAGTTTTGAAATATACAAATAATGAGATCAAGTTGGATATCTGAATCTCAGAGAAGTTGTCTGCGGTAGAAATATGCATTTATGGCCCAGGCACACAGATGGTAACAAAGCCATGTATCTGGCTGAAATGGCTTTGGGCTGGAACTCGAATGCACAGTGATTTAAGGTTGAGTGATGGGGAGGCTCTGGAATGGGGGAAGGAGCAGCAGGAAGATACGAGGAAGGCCAGGAGATGACTATCACAGAAGAGAAAGGAGACAAAATTCAAGACTGGGGGATGATCCATCGTGTCATATTACATGGAGGCCAAGAATACAGAAGGCAATGAAACTTTTCCATTGCACTATCAAATATTTGAAAGACATGGACCAAGGAGAAGCCTGAAGTAAGGATACACAGTGTATGATTCCGTTCACATAAAGTTCAAAGCCAGGCAAAGCTAGTCTCCAGCTGAGAAGTCATGGAGTAGGGGCCCTTCGGAAGGACAGGATCTAGAAGGGAGATGAGAAGTGGCTTCTGGTTTCTGGTGATATTCCGATTCCTGACCTGGTGGGTCATCCAGGTGTGATCACTTTGTGAAAGCTCATTAAGCTGTAGAATCTTATGCACTTTTCAGTATGTATGTTACTCTGCAAAATGTCATGTCCATGAACAGAAAACAGGAGTGGGGGAAATTGGATTTTTACCCAACAATTCCTAAAGTTTATCCTACTGGTATAAAAACAAGTATGCAAATTGTAAAGACTGACAATGAACTAAATAGTTAAGTAACTCACGGATTAAATATAGTACAACCATTGGACGAAACTCTACGGGTCACTGGGAAACTATGACTGCTGACATGGAAAATATGTATGTGATGATGCTAAATGCAAAGCAATGCAAAGCAATTACAGAAAGGTTATGAATCACCGTATTTTAAATTCAACCATGAAGATAAGGAGGGAGTAAGCAGATCGGTAAATAGAAAGTTATGCACCATCTATTTAAGATTCAACTGTGAAGGTAAGGTATGAGTAAGCAGAGAGGTAAATACTTCTGAAAGCTGCCTGGTGGCTTTTCCTGGGAAGACAGGAGCATCTGGTAAGAGGCAGTAAGTATTTCATGGGTGGTCATGGCTGGATACGATGATGAAAGTGAGAGTGGGGAAGGACATGTCATGAGACTAGAGCAGCCGTGGGCAAACTACGGCCCGTTTGAAATGAATAAAACTAAAAAAAAAAAAGACTGTACCCTTTTATGTAATGATGTTTACTTTGAATTTATATTAGTTCACACAAACACTCCATCCATGCTTTTGTTCCGGCCCTCCGGTCCAGTTTAAGAACCCATTGTGGCCCTCGAGTCAAAAAGTTTGCCCACCCCTGGACTAGAGCCACAGCTGTTTAGTAATTATCCACCTCACTAACTACAGATAAGAAGTTTTCTTACAGACCCTGGGAAACTGGAGGATGAAACAAGGCTGTAAAAAGATAAGATGCCTCAATGGGTCCATTACTCAGAAAAGAAATACACTTTGAGAACAGACCAAGGACAGGACAGGCTTTGATTTGGTTGCTGTGCCTGTGAGAGGGTTAACTTGAAACGCAGGCAGATAGGACAGGGGTCCAGTGGGAAACAAAGGCAGGTGGAACACAGGCAGGGGCAGACCCGGCAGTCTGAGCTGGCCTAACCACGGGAACCAACCACGCAAAAATAAAAAAAATGTGTCTGGACTCAAAGCCGGAGGCATGGGAAGCCAAGGGAGGGCCTGCAGTAAACAAGGTGTACGAATGCATAGAAACAGAGAAAGTCCAGCACAGGGACACAGGAAGAGCACATAGAAACAAGGAAAGAACACATAAGTCCTTTGCTGGGCAAAAACAATTGAGAGAATCAGGTGACGACACAGGTAGACACAGAGCAGGCTTGTAGCAAATACATACAAGGCTTTCACGGGCAGCCCTTTAGTGGGTCCTCCCCCGCCCCTTGTGGGGAGTCTAAACCTGCTTGTAATAAATTCCCCACACTGTGCTTAAACCTCTGGTCCGGTAGCTCATTCTTTGGTGTCGAGAGACATGACCCGGGAAAACCTCTGCTCACCGTTCCAGTTATTACCTGGACCCTGCCCCCTCCGAGAGTTTTTCTCAGGAACGCTGACCACTCTCAGGTCCCAGGATCAGGCTGTTTGTAACATCATAGAAGATTAGCCACGTTGGTATCAGACTTTGAGCTCCTGAAGGCGGGACTGCAGACTCTACCCTCCCCTGTCCATGTTACACTTATAGCTCACAGCTGCACGTAGCTATCTTCTCCCTCGTGTGTGTATAACCAGCCAACTGGCAAGGGGGGTCAGAGCAGATTTTTGTGGGTGGCCTGCTGCTCTCCCATGCTGCCGGCAGTATTGGAATAAACACTCATACATGACTCAACCCTGTCTCTTAAATTGGCTCAAGTGGTGACAGGCAGCCCGGACCCCTTGGTTGTCCCGTTACAAAAGGAGTCGATACAATAAGCATGCTCAGCACGGGTGGATGTTGACCAGGTTCGGCAGTTTAAGTGTCTGTGTATTTGAACAAGAATGACCATTCATTCTGCCCAAGACCCACTGAGAGGAAATATATAGGAACAACTGAGAATTCAACCTGCTCACTCTTTGGGAGCCAGATAAGGCAGTGTCATTGGGGCGGGGGAAGGGAGATATTTGTGCATCCTCTAAAAGAAAATCCCATCTAATGTCACAAGTTTTGATTCTCTCCATTTTGCCTTTCTAATCAAAAAAATTGTTTAGTGGTTTGAATTTTGAGAAAGAAATGAAATCACTATGAGTTAAATTTCCGTAAGTTGTCCATGACAATCCCTAAAGTTTTGTATCAACTGTCCCTCACTTCAGGCAACACTAGGGGCAGGGAACAATAAAACTGAACGGAAAACAGCAGATGCATTACAGGATTCCAGGGCAGGGGGACTAGGGAAACTGAGACAGGAAAGGTTAAACAAGGCCAAACAGTGTGGATGCTTTGCAGCCAGCCTGTAATTAACAAGCCATTATCTTCCCCAGCCAAGGACAGAGAACAAATGATTTAAAAAAAAGAAAAAAAAAAAGAAGAAGAAGAACCCTAATGAGAGACTAGGGAAAGGGGAAAGGGGCAGAGAAGACAGCAGTCTCAAGACCTGGCAAGATAAAGTTGCCAGGTGCTTTTTGTGAGTTCTGGGAAGGCCACAACAAAATTTTTTAAAAAGGGGGGTGGGGGGCCTTGAGAATTAATCTGTATCAAAATGGTCAGCAGAGGAAGTTTGAAGCCTATAGACAGGAGGGCATATAACACCTCGGACCCCCACCAACTTGCTTTTCAGATTCGCTGAGAGCCCGTCTGCGCTTCATAAGCCAGAAGTGTAGGTTTGCTTGCTTTGCTTTTTCAATAAAGGTGCACGCTTTAATCGCTTTAATAAGTTGGCTTTCATGCTTTAATTGCTTTAATAAGTTGGCTTTTCACAATGCAGTCAAGGTCTCTCATATACATTCATTTATGTGAGAAGACAAGGATCGAGGTTGGGCACAGCCCTCTCTACGGACTCAGGAGGCTATCCTGTCTGGTAACGCTTCGCTGGTGTCGGTGAGAGGTGCCTATAACAGATGGAATAGCAGAGCACTAACTGCAAAGATGACTTCTTCCTTCCAGCCGGGACGATTGCATTACAATTATTTCAAAGGGGATAATGACAATAATAAAGGGATAAAATACAGAAGGAGGTGTTCTGTCGCTAGAATGAACAGCCTGGTTCCCCTTTCCCAAGTTTCTAATAGCCCACATTTCTCAATCTGATGGAAATCTTCACCCCAACTATACTAGTAAAACCCATTGCTATAGCCCTTTTCTTTTTCTAATGTTGACACTTACCGTCCCTGAAGAATGAGACGGAGGAGGGAATAGCCGCTCCCAGCCTCTCCTGTTACCCCCTCCTGCCTCAGCAGCGCTGGCGTCATGTATGTTCCCAGCCCTGATCCAATTCTGTCCACTTGTTGAGTGAACTTGTCTTTTTCTGGGATGAACTTTTTTTTTCATTTCCTCTTATTCCTGCCCTTGTGTTTTAAAAAGTATGAATAAGAACAGCTAACATCCTCATACTGAATTATTTGCAGCTTTCTCTTCACTAATAGATCTGTTTCTCCGAGGAAAAATATGCTCTAGGTCAGTGATGGCGAACCTATGACACGCGTGTCAGAGGTGACACGCGAACTCATTTTTTGGGTTGATTTTTCTTTGTTAAATGGCATTTAAATATATAAAATAAATATCAAAAATATAAATCTTTGTTTTACTATGGTTGCAAATATCAAAAAATTTCTATATGTGACACAGCACCAGAGTTAAGTTAGGGTTTTTCAAAATGCTGACACGCCGAGCTCAAAAGGTTCGCCATCACTGCCCTAGGTTTTAAACACTATTGAAAGGCTTAGAATGAGACTGTCGGACGTTTAGTTAGTACCATGCAGTTATTGCAGTGAACAGCAGAGGTCAGATTTTAGTTCCAGATTCTTTCCCAAAGAGAGGGCACTTGAATTGTTTCTTGTTGTTACATCAGAATTTCTGCTACGTTTTGCACTATTTCTTTGCAGCAGATTCCTGAGCCTACACAAATTTATTCTAGGGCTTTTGAGGAAAATAAATACATAAAGATAGCAACACAAATTCTGAAAGAAAAACCAAACAGTGTAAAAGGAGAATTAACCCTATCAATATTAAAACATACTATAAGGGTTAGATCATTTAAAGTATAGTAATGCCCCATGATTACCCAAACAATGAGACAGAAAAGAAAGGTCCAGAATTACAAGTACCTAGGAAGGTTTAAATGAAACCAAAGTGGTATTTCAAATCCCTGGGGTAAAGATGGCATTTTATTTATTTATTTATTTTTAATCCTCACTCCAGAAATGAGGGTATTTTTTTCCATTGATTTTTAGAGAGTGGAAGGGAGGAAGAAGAGGGGGGAGAGAGAGAAGCATCAATATGAGAGAGACACATCAATTGGTTGCTTCCCGCTTTCGCCCCAACTGGGGCTGGGAATTGAACCTGCAACAGAGGTACATGCCCTTGACAGGAAATCGAATTTGAGACCCTTCGGTCTGAGGGCCGACACTCTAACCACTGAGCTGGATGGCATTTTAATTAAACAGCAATGAGACAACTAGGTAACAACTTGAAATAAAAAAGTTGATTCATACCTCATACCCTATACCAGAATAACCTCCCAACCGAGCCAAGATATAAATAAATATATACATACATACTTTTCCCGTTTGTCTGTCCATTAGTGGATCTAGGTGAAGGATACAGAAGCTATTTATTATACTCTTCTTTCAACTATTTTTATGTTTGAATTAAATAAAGCATTGGTAAAGGTTGCAGATTTAACCCTAACCGGTTTGGCTCAATGGATAGAGTGTTGGCCTGCGGACTGAGGCGTCCCAGGTTCGATTCCGGTCAAGGGCAGGTACCTTAGTTGTAGGCACATCCCCAGTAGGAGGTGTGCAGGAGGCAGCTGATCGATGTTTCTAACTTTCTATCCCTCTCCCTTCCTCTCTGTAAAAAATCAATAAAATATATTTTAAAAAAAAAAGGTTGCAGATTTACAGGCTCAAAGTGTGTACAAATGACAAACACAAACACAAATCACCACAAATTTAATGTATCCCTGGCCGGCCCACAAACTGGAGGGTCTTGGGTTTGATTCCCAGTCAAGGGCATGTACCTGGGTTTCAGGTTCAAACCTTGATCTGGTCAGAGCCTGAGGGGGAGGCAACCAATCAATTTGTCTCTCTCACATCGATGTTTCTTTCTCTTTCTCTCCCCTTCCCCCCCCTTCAACTCTCTAAAAAAAAAAAAATCAATGGGAAAAAATATCCTCAGGTGAAGATTTTAAAAAATTTTTAATGTAAAATATTTTATTTTAAATGTTACTTTATTCTCACTTTTCCTGCAATGAGTTCTGCTTTATCTTTTCATTGGTAACTTCATGGCTTAATAATTTTTTAATTGATTTCAGAGAGGAAGGGAGAGGGAGAGATAGAAACACTAATGATGACAGAGAATCACTGATCGGCTGCCTCCTGCCTGCCCCACACTGGGGATCAAGCCCACAGCTCAGGCATTCGCCCTGACTGGGAATTGAACTGTGACCTCCTGGCACATAGGTTGATGCTCAACCACTGAGCCATGTTGGCTGGGCATGACTAATAATTTTTAATAAATATTGAAGTGCTATATTTTATTCCACTCAAAAAACTTAAACCCAGCTCTGGCCTGGTGGCTCCATTGGTTGGAGTGTTGTCCCATACACCAAAAGGTTTGATCCCCAGTAGGGGCGAATATAGGATTTAGGAAAACCAAAATACCTTAAACCCAGACAGGAGACAATTTAGCTCAGCAATAGATTATGAAACCAGGAGAGGCAAAGAATGCAGAACTTGAAACAAAGAGGTCTCAAGAAGGAAAGAAAGAGGAATCAGGGCTCCAAAGAAAAGAACTGAAAGACAAATATAGTAGAAATAGAAAACTGATGAATTCAACAATGATGTCTGGCACTGATGTAGGTATTGGAGATACAGCAGTGATAGTTACATTGCAGTGCACAAGATTTTTTTTTTAAATCCCTGCTTTTATTTATTCTAGAGGAAATGGCATTTATTATAGGGCAGGTACTGCTCTGGGACTTTACATATATTAACTTCACCCCAACAACCTATAGCATTGGTGCTATTCTTTTTTTTTTTTTTTTGACACTATTGAGCCCTAATACCTTACTATGGTGTTCTTCTCAGAATGCCCACCTGGGG